TAAGGTGAAACTTTATCATTTATTTTATCCTTTTATTCCAATAATACCAGTCATAATTAACTTTATGAAAAAATTGCAAACTCTACGTAAAGAGGTTTAACAAAGTTCATTTAAAAATAAAAGAGTAATTGCGGCTGCTGGGAAACGGTCCAGTTCTTTTCGCCATGTTTGTCCTAATAAAACGTTTCTATTTTATTGGCAAACTTAAATTTATTCCCCCGTCTCGAGCTGTTTCCACTGGATAATAGATTTTAATGGGTTGTTTATGGTAAGACATCTTAGCTAGATGGCCTAAAGGAAAACGTCTCGTCTCCAATTTGTTACTGTTGTTGTACAAGTTAACAGCGTTTGGTCTGTAACATGTGTTCTTATTATATAAGTTCGCGATAATTCAACCTGTGGAGTACTGAACCTACTGATATCGAGCTAAATGATTACGTGAACGTGCAATATCATGTCGGAGGTCACTTGCGTGACTGAAATTGTTCGATCGGCAGTTGTTCGGTATCGAGTGGAGTATGACACGATAAGCGCTTTGTTTAGCGATTGACAAACGATCTTTGTGATTGGCCTTCAACCTATAAACGATTTCGACTCAAATTGGGTACTGGAACTGCTGAGGCGCAATATCGGTTCTTCACATGCGTCCACATTTTTACAAATATAAAGAAATCGCCCGCGGTTAAGAATCAAACAATGAAATGGGAGAGCTCGTGTGGTCCAACTATCTATATTCCAGTGAATAGAACAGTACTTATGTCAAAAGGAAAAGCGTTATTCTATGTAGTAAGGTATCTACGGGTGGAAGAAAAACGTGAAAGTATTTCAATCAATTTTTTAACGACGGAGTATTATTATTTTTTACAAACTGTTTCTGATTAATAGATGAAGAGGCTCAATAATTACTCTTGCTGTGTTCATTCAGAAGTCAAATACATTTTAGCTTTGTTCAAAATATCAGAGGTTGCAATGTTACATTTAAATATTAACAATAATGCGAGAAAACGGGAAAATTCCACAGAGACGTCAAGAATCTAAATATAACATACTTATTTCATAGAAATGTTGTAAAGGCAAATACAACGTATACTCCTGTTATCCCTTGAAAGAAAACCAATTCTTTTTGTTATGCGGTTTATATAGAATCTTTAAAGCTACCTTTCAGTGTATTGATGAAAGTCGATATAAGAACTATTTACGAGAACAGAAGCATCACTGCGCGTAATAATATTAAAGGTGTTATAACTTACAATTTAGTACTAAATAAGTACTTTTTCTTCGAAAAATTCACAGACAGACACACATTCGATATATCCAACATAGATAACATATCCAACATTATTTCGAGGTTTTGATGCATAAATCTAACAAATTGTTAAACTCAAGTCATACAAAGAGAGGTTTCGAGTCAATGATAATCGGCCAAATAGGATTCCATTAAGACAGATTACCCTAATTTGAAGGTAATTATGGTTTACACGAATCAGGACTAGGATATCGGATGCATTATTTACTGAATTCTACGTGTATTTTGTTTTGAACATTTTATAGAGATAATAATATTAATTCATACTTGCTTCTATAAAACGTCCACTTCTGTCATCATCTAGTTTTCTCTAGTTCTCTATCTAGTTCCTCGAGAAGAAGCAGATTCACCTATAGCTGACTTTATACGTTTAATTTTTTAAGCTATTGCATAGCTTCTATCGAGGATCTTGAGCGCGGGGACCGAAACCAGAAATTCCGTAACGAAAAAAAAACTTACGCTAAAAACAAAACAAAAAACAGTACCAAAATCAAATGCTGAATGTCAAAGGAAATTTCGTCAACATAATGCAGAAAAATCTTACATGGATATGTAATTTGATTAAGTAATAATATTTTTTATTTATTTATTTAGAAACAAATTGTAATATATGCTACAATATTTTTATTTAATAAAAGAAAAAAAAATATTTTCTTATCGGTCACCACGCTCAAAAAGTGTAACTTGAATTAATATCACAGAAAAAGAAATACTGCATAAATAAAATAAATAAATAATTATAATTCCATAAGCTGATACAAAATGCTATGCAATAGCTTTACCGCGGCTGTCCCCGAGTGCCACACGTCTTTTTTTTTTTAAGCTATTGCATAGCTTCTATCGAGGGCCTTGAGCGCGGGGACCGAATCCAGAAATTCCGTAACGAAAAAAAACCTCACGCTAAAAACAAAACAAAAAACAGTACCAAAATCAAATGCTGAACGTCAAAGGAAATTTTTTATTTATTTATTTAAAAACAAATTGTAATATATGCTTCAATATTTTTATTTAATAAAAGAAAAAAAAATGTTTTCTTATCGGTCACCACGCTCAAAACTGTACTTCAAAACACAAACAAATTCTGTAACTTGAATTAATATCAAAGAAAAAGAAATACGGCATAAATAAAATAAATAAATAATTATAATTGCATAAGTTGATACAAAATGCTATGCAATAGCTTTACCGCAGCAGTCCCCGAGTGCCACACGTCTTTTTTAAATTATTGCTGTAAATGACCCTTTGTATTTGGTTTTCAAATAATTTGCGTTTTAATAAAATATGACACAGATGCGTTCCATTTTCAAATTTCGAGCATCTCAAAACTTATATAGAGACCTATGTATTTCACTGTGAAACTTGCACCATACGTGCAAGTTTGAACGCTTTGAAAGTAAAATGTACGTAAATAAATTACGAGTTTGAAAAACCGCACATGAACTAGGGACCGACTTGATGGCCTAATTTATAAGGAAATTCGACTTGAACGAAATTTTCTAAACTTCTCGTATTCCGAGTACCAAAGTGGAGGGGAAATAAGTGTTTGTATGTAAATTTAAACATTTTAGGTCTTTATTCTGAAGCCCCGTGTATACAGAAGGTAAATGAAAAATTCTTATCATGGTACGTATTTGAGGCGTCATTGTTTTTATATACGTGAATTCTTTCAAAAATATCTCTTCTCTGCGCTGAAAGCCAAATAGGAGCAAGAACACTTTAGACCAACTTTTGCAGAAAAAACCGGGGCCGCTCTAATTAAATTGAAAGCAGCGTGAAAAGCCCAGGGCATTAATTGCGCCCAACTATGCTCTATATATAACCTTCGTTCACCCTTACTGGCGTGCACAATATAATAAATACTAGTTTCACCTGATGAGCGCTACATATTTTCTAGTTACATAGTTTCGTGCATAATTCTACTGTATTACATATAAATATTTGGTTTCAATCAATTGTACCCATTACGCAATTGTACATTTCAGTTCTAAAGTTTGCTTTAAAAGTTTATTTTAGAAATAATGTTATGTATTTTATTAACATTCTATAAAAAAACCTTTTAAATAAAAGTGAAAAGGAGCCCTCCGGACAGGTCTTAGTGTTGAACTTGGATTAGGACTCGTCAGATTTATTGGTCGTTATTACAATTTTTAAAATAGAAATATGGTTTTTAATTATTATTCATTAAAATTCAATTTACTTTTTTATGATATGCTATTTTATGATATTGCTACTAGCTACTCCGGGTAAACAATAAATAAAAGTTGTCGGTTAATTTCTTTTATTACACTGTATTTATAAATAATCACTACGAGTATTACACATAAGAAAGCACTATACAACTCGTTTGTCGCACTAAAAAATTTGCTTCGATGTTATTTCGCTGTGCCGGGATTATAGGGATAGCCCTTAAATTTATATAACTACATAGATATAAAATTACAAGGCTAATCCCGAATATCCCATGGAATGTTCCAGATAGAACCATGTACAATAAGGCATCTACAAATTCCTATAATCAACCGTTATTCGACACTAGATGGCACTGCAAGCAAATATCGGAATTAAGAACCATAATCTCAATGCGTAGCGTTGTGCCCCACTTGATACTAAATGCCACTGTCCTCCAGAGACAACACAAGAACCACTCAATCCTATGGCGCAACAATATGCTTCTAGAACACAGTTATTTTGAAAGTAATCATACTATTTAACTGAAATTACTGTCAAAACATATTATCCATGGATTAAGTACGATATTGTTATATATGAAAATTTGGGTAGATAATACGTATACAGTTTTTTCAATTTCCAATAATGTATCTAATCGTACAGTAGATATGTGACTGTGACTGATAAAATAATTCAAGACCCTTGATTTATGCCTTTGTAGACCCCATCAGGTATATGCGAGTTTTATAATTGTTTTGTGAAAAAAAAAGGTGTGAACGTGGATTCGCTATACATGCCACTGGGTATTAAAAACTAGAGATTCAGGTCTTTTATTTGACTACTTATAGAACTCTTATAACTTAAACCAATTTGGAAGAAGGGGGGTTATTTGTTCACAAATAATGTCTCATATATGTATATCTGAAGAAATAAGTTATTTGAAGCTAACGCTCTCTGAAATGTACTACATTTGTTTAAATCCATTCTTGGGTACTCCTTGTCTTTTGTTAAATATATTTTTATATTATCGTATGCTAATGACTGTTTTGAACCAAATAAATGAAAAAAAAGAAAAACCAAATCCATCTTTCAAAAATATTAATACAATTAAATATATAGTGCCAAAAATGTGACCATATTAATACGCCTTTATCTACCCCTTAGGGGATAGAAGTCATATATGCATGTATGTACTCCTATGTCCCCATCGGGGCCTAAATGAAGAGTTCTTCCGTTTCATTGCTTTCTATGTAAAGTTAGTTAAGCGTTGTTTACTTGGCTTTTTCTAAATACGTACTAATTTAAATTTGGAGTTACGTACTAATGTACTAAATTAATGTACAATAATAATTAAAAGATGAGAGATAGGCATTACAGAAGAAATGGCCACAGACATAAAATCCATCTTTTATTTGACATGGTCTGAATGATATGCGGTTATAAATATTATTAAAACTAATTCTACGCGACTCCTAAGAACAGCAGGGTTATTGAGTTATATACTAAATTAACTTTTATTTTATAGACCGTGGAAGATTTAGAGGCGCATTGTAAGAAGTCTGGTATTGAAATTGTAACCCGGCAATCGTTTTTATCGGATCCTGCTGATGCAGTAAGGAACTTAAGAAGGCAAGATGCGCGTGTCATTGTTGGGTTATTCTACGTGGTTGCGGCTCGGCGTGTGCTGTGTGAAGTTTACAAACATCGCTTATACGGCAAGTCCTACGTATGGTTTTTCATAGGTAAGTACTTTAGACAAACTAATATAACACCATGTTTTCACTTGCAGAGGTCACACATGTTGATAGTGTCATGCCAAGAGTAGTTAGCAGTGTATCAAAGCTATGTAGAGCAGGACGCTCAACATAGCTTTGATAATAAATAATAATAATAATAATAATAAATATATTTATTGGTCCAAAGGTGTTACAACAGTAAAACTAGCAGACACAATTGGTATTTACAGTATTATACGCTAAAGTTCTAAAGTTACAAAATATTGTTGTATATTCAAAATTTGAACCATGTCTCTTAAACTAGGCTAAGCCTGTATCTTAAGAGACAGGTTACGGCTCTAAGGAATTACAATAGTGTGTTTCATTGGGCATTGAGACGATGAAGACACTGTTGATTGGATGATGACCGTATGTATAATATATACCAAAGACAGTTTGAATTAAATGTGTGTGTGTGTGTGTGTGTGAATCTGAAAATAGAAATTTTTCTAAGTTATTTAAAGAACACTGTTTGGTTAAATAAGAAATTGATAAGCTGAACTTCAGTTGTTTAACAATAAAACATTATTTTCCTTTATGGATGGTATCACATGAATGATAAATCATTTTGTTTTGGAACACAAAAGTGTTGAAAAATAAACATACCTACCACATAGCTCGATAAAAACAAGATTTTATAAAACACCTACGCCAAGTACTGAGTTTTGATAAGAGCGGAGAATAAGAAAAAGGGAAAACAAAGGTTACTTTATTATAAAACACCTACGCCAAGTACTGAGTTTTGATAGGAGCGGAGACTAAGGAAAAGGGAAAACAACGGTTACTTTATTACTTCCAAATAGATTGTGCTACAAATTTGGAGATGGTCATATATTCAGAGTCACTAACTAAAAAATAAAATGTAAAAAACAGACACAGACTTCTTGGTAATGTAAGATTTAAAAAGTAAATAAAATTGTTAAAATAGCGTAGTTCAAATTGTGTACATAAATACTCCGTGCTCCCAAAACCAGATTATCTTCAGTTATTGGAATCTCATTTGAAATATATGTACATACGTTTTTTTTTTTCAACAATAAAGTATTTATTGGAAAATACTTTATTAAAAATAAAGGAAAATAATTATCAAGTGGACATTACAGTGCATAAACGAGCAATATAGTACACAGTTTACAGTAACAAAAAATAAACTTTTCTTCAAACTGTATTTCATCATCAACAGCCTTTAATAGTCCACTGCTGGCTGGACATAAGCCTCTCCTTAGAAAGGAGGTTTTGGCCTACTATACCACGCTGGCCAGACGGGTTGGTAAAGGGTTTGTGTCAAGTTTTCCTCCTCTCTGCAGTGCTGTTGTTCTGCGTAGTTTTCGCCCTTAGTCGGCTCTTACGACACCCACTTACACGACATACAATTGTATTTAAATAAGTTATATTTTTACTACATGCTAATGGTCCTTATAAAATCTCAATAAACCCGATGGTCCTAAAAATGTATTTATTAGATGAGTAAGTTTATCCCATAATTTCATTTTGTCGTTGTAAGCTTAAAGTTTAGCTTTGTCCATAAATACGAAGCCCGCGTCATGTAATAAAACCCAAAGTAACACAGTATTAAAATGAGCAATGACCGCGCATAAGTCATAAGTATTATGAATTGCAAGGAATAATGCGAAGGGATGTGAGGGTGGCAAAACACGTTGTTGCGACTCAACGCTCCTCGCGCAATCCATTTAGATATTGTTTATGATGAGGGTTAAAAGAAATAAGACAATTTTCCAACGTAATAAAGAAAATGGACTGTTTTTCTGTGAACAACTTTTAGGAAATTATATTTTTATTGCCTATTTTATAAATAATCATATTGATTTAAACATCTGTGGCATCGGCATTTTAGTTTGAGGTATAGTTACTTCTACGTCACAAATAACTCCTTGTGTTTGGTTAAGATATTTATTAATGAATTGCCCGGATAAACCTCAGGGGACAACCCACAGCGTACAACATGGAAAGTGAAAAAAAACTGAGATAAAGTGAAGTAAAGAGAAGAACCACGTCGTTAACGACACTCTGGGGTGTAATATAATAAGAAACTTGATATTTTTAAAGAATTACTTCTTACACCTTTATTATTTTTAAAAATACAGTGATGTCAAATATCTAGCTATATAACAACACAATAGCTGAGTATGACGTCATCATTCATTGTATCCTACAAACTCTTACAAAATATACCATTCAAAATAGCACATTCAGTAAAAATTTGGATGTTTAATATCAGAAAGACTAATTTGACTTGAAGTATAGGATAAGGAGTATACCCGAAATGGCGTGCGGTTTTTGGTCGGTTCGAGTCCGACATAACCACCCCCCCACCTGTGGGTAGTATCCGAGGGGATTTCCGCACGGAAAAAAGGAGTATCTGTAACAGACGTAACTGTTTCAAACTGCAATATTTCTATTCAAAGTAGTTAAAATAAGGAATTAAAATTTTCAAGTGTAACAGTAAAAAGTGCATGCATAAAATCATGTCATTTAATTATTTTTGCTAAAAATTTTAATAACATAGCGAATAATTTGGATAGATTTCCAAGTTTGTTTCTAGGCTAAGTACTTTTTCTACCTAATTTTTATGTTTCATGATACATTATTTATAAACGCCCTCAGTGCTGGTGACACTAAGACAGATAGTTTAGTCTCAGCTTCTTCAAATATGCTTTGTTTAAACTTAAATTGAGAATTGACTTCAAATAATTATAATGAAAGCAGAACAGCAATAAGGCCCAAATTGTGTATTCATGAATCTGAGTTAGCTACTAGACCGGCGTCGCCTTCGTGACGATTGTTTCAAATGGTGATTGTCTTTTGAATCAATTCTCATTAATGTATCTAATTTAGACACATTTACATTCCTCTCTTGTGCCCGCATTGATTCAGCATAATTAGTTATATTCACGCCTACGCAATAGCATTGTGTTGACAATTATTTACTAAGACGTCTCGGTATATCATAAGATTGTTTCATTTCAGCTAAAGGCATTTATACATATTTAATGTGAACAGTAGTCGAAATTGGTACAAATTGGATCTCTTAAGCCTGAGTACACATGTGTTTACACTTATACGCTGGGTTATTGGCGTCCTGCCAAAAGCATGTCACCCCAAGTTCTCCAGGTTATCAATGTGTGTTTGGCCTTAATATAGCCTATATTACAACTACTATGCACACCCACATTAACAGAAAGAAGTAATTCCTAAGGTTACATATCTCATGACTATGGAGGGTCCTTGCAATTAGGAAACCACGACCACCACATTTTCGCTGAATATATAACCTCATCACCGATGAACGTGGATGATGCATGAGCAATGCACGAACTCTTCTATCCAGTGTATCTAGTTCAGTCTGAGTCCATCTAAGTAAACCAAAGGAGTAGGTTAAAACTGATATTATTATTATTGTATTATTACTCGAATTATAGGCCCTCATCTCACGAGTATTAAAAAGTGACAAAAGACTATTTTATACTCTTTGGTTCTGTTTCTGTAAGGATTGCTTTACAGTCAACTCATTTACACCTAATATCTGTGACATATCCAAATAATTGTAAGTTTCGTCAGCTGAAAGACATTTAAAGTTAGTTGTTATTATTAAATTTACTAAATCAAAAATTAAAGTCTAACATTCCAAACTAGACTTATAGTAAAATTAATTACTATTTTGACCTTTAGAAGCAAATTCAACCAAAATTGCATCATACTTTTACTAGTAGACTTTTTTAAACTAATATGACATTTAGCTGATCCTGCGTTGGCTATTATTACTATGACACCTAATTAATCACCATGATCATCATCAACAACCTTTAATAGCAGTAGCCTGGCCTATGGCCAGCAGTGAACTGCTGTATATAAGCCTCTCCTAAGAAAAGAGGTTTCGGCCCACTATACAATTGACACCTAATTAAAAACCTTTTGTTCTAAATTTAGTCCATTAATCAAAATATAAAGTCAGTCTTTGTATATTTTATATTTTAAATTTTATTTTTCACAAGCAGATAACATAATCTACAATCACAACGAGTGAAAAGTTTCAACCAATATTAAGATTTGTACTGGCAAAACTCTTTTACAACCCAATTTTGAGTCGAAAAAGTATGAAAAGAGTATGAAAAAAGTTATATTGGCACTCACAAAACATTCCCACTTCAACTTTCATGAAAATACATAGCCTATATAGCCTCAAGCAAAGTAGAGACGACATTGCAAACAAGCATTTGTCCGCATCAGGTTCTGCTAACAAACAGGACAAAGGAAATGTATAGAGAAAGGAGATAAATAATGGTCGAGGGTGAGGCTCGCCGTAAATGCAAAATAAAGGGATATAATTTTGCGTTTATTCTTTGAATAAATAATGGGGATTGTGCTGATTTGGTCATTCATATTTCCAGATTTTTGTAGGAATGAAAGAGTGTGGGGTAATAATTCCTAGCTTTTTGATCTTCGAGTTGTTACCTGTAGATATTTAAAAGTCTCAGTCTCAAAAGATCTTTAAGTTATTTTGAAATAGCATCCTACAACATAGGTTATTACTTTTTGGTTGTATACTATATGAGTAATATTTTTAACAAAGTTTGCATAAGAAAACCTCAGCCATGAGTCTTCAATTATATTACTCTGTGTCCACAAGATACCAAGTGTTGTCTCATGAATATTAAGTATTAAATAACTAAACAATAGAAGTTATTATGCCATGGTTCTTGTTATATGTGGTCTAAGAAATTATTTTATATAATGAGGATTCAAAAGGGTATTTGAATTTAGTATCTGAATTAAGAGACTAAATCTTCACCTGAGGGTAAAATTTAAAGCTATTAGTTTAAATTGTGCAAATCAAATGATTCTTCGCTTGTTACCATACACATCCTTCGAAAAACTTGTAAAAAAACTATCGATTTTAATTTCAATCATCGTGAACTATTTGCGTCATTACTATTTCCTTTCAATAAATTAATGTAAATGACATCATAGATGTACTTTTTAAATAACTTCTGAAAAGAAAAGTTATAAATATATTTTATTTTATTGTATTGCTATACTTTCCCTATTTTTTCTGGATCTGCAAAGGGAACATAAGACATGAACCACTTCGATATTGACATTTATAACATCAATATATATTTATTTTTAAATTAAACGTCTGCAACTGTGTTACCACTTTTTCGGGACGTGAGAGTACTGGCGTTCTCCCGTTGCCTTCCCACCGCCTCTTTAGTGGCCATCACTATCTCGCTAAAAGAAACGGCGGAATCCCACGCACTCTCACTTTGGACCAAGGCCAAAACCATGGTCTGTAGTGAGAGGCTTCCTACGTGGCGAGTTCCTGGTCCTCTAAGGTGTGCAGTGCAGTATCCTTGCAACAGCCACCGCAGGTGACGGCACATAGACGTTGACTCCCGGCCTATACAACACAGGTACTTTCCGAAGCAACCATGGGCGGTCGGTACCTGTGTCAGTACCGACCGGCCGGTCGAAGTAGAGTAAGTAGGCCGGTAGAAGAGGCGGCCACGCTGCTTCTCACGCCAATCCTCCATAAAGACTAGTCATTTAGACTTTATCTAAACCTAAAACTTTGTCATAGCATGTCTACTTAATATATACAAATTGTATGTAGGTTGTTATATTTATTTTATTGTAAGTTGGTTCTATGAAAGACATTTTTTTCCAAATGTTCTTGTATTTAGTTGTAATGTTTATAAACTTTTTTTATAACGTTTATAAAAAAGTTTATAAATCCCGTTATTATTTGGTTTATTATTATTAAGATTATTATTATTTGGTTTATAAACCAACAAAGCCAACTGATCTCTATGCACCTGTGCACTGATCCAAAGTGACCCAAGCATGCGTTACGGTGAATCTATTCCAAACTTATTTTTCGAAGGCTTTTTGAAATCTATGTTTTATCTGTCAATAAATACCGTTTTATTTATATATTCTTATGTAATAAAAATTATTTATATTGTTTAAATTAATTATATATTAAATTAATTATATATATTTACCAAACCTTAAGATGTTCCAATTAGAGAAAATGACAACCAAGAATATCATATATAAAATAGAGTAAGTTATGGTTTTTATTTAAAGAGACTATTGTATTTCCTTAGGTTGGTACGAAGACAATTGGTTCGAAACAAATTTAGAAAAGGAAGGTATTGACTGCACCCCGGAACAGATGCGAGAGGCGGCCGAGGGTCACTTAACTACGGAGGCTCTCATGTGGAATCAAAACTCAAACCAAACAACTATTTCAGGAATGACTTCTGAAGACTTTAGGTAGGTATTCTAAACTAGGTATTCTAAACTAGCAAATTGCAAGTTAGAAGAAAGAGCGAAAAGTGTTTCATAGTTTTAAATAATAATAAAAATTATAAGAAACTACTATTCGATTACTTCTAGCTTAACAGAAAATAAATATGTAGGTAACTTATAAACTAACGACAGAGCTGATCTCCTAAACCTCGCTCAAACGGCATTTTTCTTACTTTTAGTAATTTTATAACTCTTAATCTTCTAAGCGAATGGTTAGATTCGAAAAAATAACTATATTTGCTTGGATTAGGATTAAAATCATGGCTACGATTATCATTTCGATGACGAATAACTGTTAAACAATTAGATGTAATGAAGTATATTTGATGTATCGCAGCTCAAACCAAACAATTATTTTATTTGGTTTACGTTGGTATACATTTAATGCTGCAATTTTTGTAGGCACGTCTACTTATATTTCTTAATTAAAATACTCTATGTTTTACAGGATAGTAATACAATTGTTATAAATTTAACAATAAATTGGGCATGTAAATTTTCATTCATCAAATGATTTAACATTTAAATTGTGAGCTTAGAATATTACGAGGGGTGATCAATAAGTAATGATAATCGAGTATTTCTAGAACGCACAAAAACCCAAATTATTATTTTTCTGCTTGCTTATATATCCACTACTTCAGCTTCAAAAAAATGTATAAATAGTACACCATTACCGGGAGATACATTCATTTGAATACGAACTGTCGAAGAGAAAACATCAAAATGGAGAAAAATGAAATAAGAGCTGTCATCAAGTACCTCTGCCTGAAAAAAATGTCTACCAAAGACATACACAGCGACTTAGAGGAAACATTGGGGGAGTCTGCTCCTCCATATTCCACAGTCGCACGCTGGGCAAAGGAATTTAAGCTGGGCAGAACCTCCACTGAAGATGAACATCGCGAGGGACGCCCTTCCACGTCCCTTACTGGAGAAAACGTCAAAAAAGTGGAAGATATCGTGTTGGCCGATCGAAGGGTGACCGTAAGGCATGTAGCTGAGGTCACAGGGATCTCCTATGGCAGCGTTCAAAAAATCATTGTCAACAAAATGCATATGAAAAAGGTCTCTGCCCGTTGGGTACCGAGAATGTTAACCGACGAGCAAAAAAAGAAACGAGTCGACATTTCGAGGGTGAATCTTCAAAAGTTCCAGGCCGATAAAGAATTTTTTTTGTCGCGTTTTGTGACCATGGACGAGACCTGGATCCACCACTTTGATCCCGAAACCAAACAACAATCAATGACTTGGAAACGAGCTTCCTCACCAACGCCGAAGAAATTCAAAGTGTCAAGTTCAGCGGGAAAGGTTATGGCGTCTGTTTTCTGGGATGCAGAAGGAATTATTATGGTGGAATATTTGGCAAAGGGGGCCTCTATAACAGGCTCTTACTACGCAGGCCAAATAAGAAGATTGCGAGAAGCTATTAAGTCAAAAAGACGCGGTAAACTGCGCGCTAGAGTGCTGTTTCACCAAGACAACGCCCCGGCTCACAAAGCCGCAGTTGCGATGGCTGCCATTGAAGAAACGGGGTTCGAACTGCTCGAACACCCTCCCTATTCGCCAGATCTAGCTCCCAGTGACTTCTACCTCTTTCCTCGGCTCAAAGAACACCTCCGGGGCAACAAATTTGAGGACAATAGTGAAGTGATGGCCGCAGTAGAGGCATTTTGGGAGGGTCAAGACAAAGAATTTTTTTCTAAGGGAATCATGGGCTTAGAAAAAAGATACACTAAATGTATTAACTTGCAAGGAGACTATGTTGAAAAATAAAATACTTTTTTTAATCTAATAGTTCTGTTTCATATTGATTATCATTACTTATTAATCACCCCTCGTACCCTCAAAACTAATTCATAGTATTTATTATTACTTGTCCTTTTTTTACGTATACAAACTTCGCATTAGGAATATATCCTGTGTCGCGAGGGCCTTTATAAACATACACGAAACGGACACAGAGAACATCCAGACTCAGAACAACAATTTGTGGATCACACAAAGTGTTGTCCCATGTGAGGATCGGACCCACAACACTCAGCGTAGTAGTAAGCGGCGTGGCGACCGCTTAAACGACTACGCCATCCGTGCAGTCCTTTTACTATTTCGATACTGGATCCTCTTAAAGGAAATAAATCCGTTTTAAAAGAACATTCAATAAGTTTTCACCAGATATTTTGTTCTGTCTGTAAATGTCGGAAACAAGTACGACTATATTTTTTTTCGTAAAGCGCGTTTCGTTTTCAAATTTTAGGCTGAGAGGCGTTGAGGTGAAGTTATCTTGAACAAAACCTGTTTCACGCAATAGATATTAATATTTTATTACAATTATAAAGATCACAGGCATATTCAAAGATTCTTTTGTAACTAAAGATAATAAAGTATTCTTCAGTAAACATTAGCATAGTAAAGTATCATGGATGCATAACTCGTACACAATGACAAGCTCTTTTGTGATAAAATAGAAAGAGTTTTCTAAAACTAGGAATATCATGAAAGGATACCCACTTAGAGGTAATGAGGTAAGTATCCGCTGTACATGTAGCAGTTGTATCCATCTCCGAGCCATCATTATGATGTACTCACAACTGTCGGAGTTAAAGTTACACAGAGTACACCTAACATTTCAAATATTTTTATCGTTACTTCCATAAGAAAATCTGTTCAGATGTTCAAAGATCATTAGCAACTTGGGAGATAGGCATGAGGATATGAATATATGTATGAGTAGACCTATGTACATATGGTAATTGCGGAATTATAAAAACTCTTGCAATAGTTTCAAGACGTACAATAACTGAACCTAAAATCGCAGTGCTCTCAAATTTCATACTCTTGATCTTTTTGTAACAAATACTCAAGAAAAGTAACAAAAAAAAATGCTTCCTCAAACCTTGTCGGCCTATCTGGATATTGTTTAATAAAGTTTGTATATCTCACAACCCTGAAGAAAAGTTGTTATTTAAAGGAATCACTCATTCAGTAAAATATTTCTGATTTAATAATGTTTTTTACTAAATAGTAAGAATGACAATTCCTGATCTTAAATTTGAAATAAAATTAAAAAAAAAGTACGTGCACCCCAAGTATTTTCCCATCATATGTGTGTAAAGTTTGAAAATTAAACATACATAGTCTGATGTTCAACTATTCATGGGTATATAATTTAAAAAAACCGGTCAGGTACGAGTCGAACTCGTACTCCGACGGTTCCGTACCTACCCAGATTTTACGAAGATTTTCGCGAAAATTTGTAAGTACCAAAATTTATTTTAATTTTCAACTTTTTTATTTTTTTGATGCATTCCTTTATTTGTGCCGTAAGACGTTTCTTTTTGCCAAATTTCGAGATTCTAGGTCAACGGGAACTACCATATAAGTTTTCGACCCAAAACCTATAGGGTACTTCCGGTTGACCTAGAATTGATAATTTTCCTTTAAAAGCAAGGTCTTACAGAACAAGTAAAGAGAAAATTCTAAAAATTAAAAAGTTGAAAATTAAGGTAAATTTTGGTACTTACAATTTTTCGCGAAAATCGAACCTTGATTTTTATACACCTAATAGGGACCATAGACTTCAGTATCTGGTAAAAATTTCAACTTGCTAGGTCTACCCGTTCCTGAGAAAATCGGTGGTGAGACACGGACAGACAAGAAAGTGATCTTACAAGGGTTCCTTTTTTACCTTTTGCGGTACGGAACCCTAAAAAAATAGAATGGAGGAACGTGTAATCTATTTTACTTTAAACTTATTTTATATAATTTATAAACGTTCCGTATAAAAAAAGTGCAAAAAGCAAAAACTTAAAAAAAATATATGTTAATTTTTTTTGAAAATACCTGAAAATGATAACATCAAGATACACACGTTTAGTATGTTGTTATTTTCCCAACGAATTAACAACAATTATACGAAGTTCTTACAGCGACAACAAACAACGACTGGCTTATATTCTCTTATTGTTACTTATTATATTGTGATTTTGAAATTATTGAATTACAGTAGATAACAAATAGCAAAATACAAAAACAATTTCTATATTTTTGGTCTAGTATTGTATATGATCTAAAAAAAATTGTAAATCCCCAGTTTTTGCTTCATATTCTTTTAGTAGTAGACGTTGTGATTCGGTATAAGAAAAACAATTTTTTATCTATACAGATCAAGACTGAACGAAGCTTTACGCGAAGCCGGGTACGACATCGACGGGGAGAGATATCCGGAGGGATATCAAGAGGCACCTCTAGCGTACGACGCTGTTTGGGCCGTGGCTTTGGGTATGTCCCTATATGTTTGTGTATAAATAAGTTATAAAGTAAAGTTTTTATTATACTATAGGTGTTGAATACTTACCCTCTCACTTGGAATATAACATAAGCTTTTCGTAAGTTGACTTATTAATTAAGGCTTTGATGTGCGTATAGATTTATGATTAAAAAAGTTTTACATTATTTTAGGAAAATGAAATTTCTTCATATATCAAGTCTAAATGACTAAAGTATTATCCTGTTGATACTTAATCTATTTGTTTGGAACCGATTTATCGTTTTGTTTTGCAACTCGTACCCGTTCAATCATTCTTATGTAAATATTACTAAAAATATATCTCAGTATATTTTGACACGTTTTTTACGGATTTAGCAATAAAGTAATAGGAGTCAGTCATCTTGATTTGAGTGTATGGTAAGGACTAATCCCTCCCACACGCCCACCATTGTAACTCCTGTACATTAGGATCAACAGCAGTGACCCACGAACACACCGAGTTATGACACTCGTGTGGTCCAAAAAAAAAAACTGTCTTGGAACCCACAACGAAATTTATCAGAAGAAAATTGGAGGAGTTGGAAATACAGTAAGTCCACTTCCGTTCCTAGCAAAGTGGGAGACAAAATGAAGTAAAATTGACGACCGGATGGCGTAGTGGTTTGTGTAACGGACTGCTATTGACAAGGTCACGGGTTCAATTGCCGCTCAAGTCAAACATTTGTGTGCATAAACATTTAATGTTTGATTTGGTCTGGGTGTTTCTATGTATAATATGAATGTATTTACAAAAAAAAAATATAAATGTATGTATTTATATCAGTTGTCTAGTACCTATAGTACAAGCTCTGCTCAGTTTGGGACTAGATGGCGTTGTGTGAATGTGGTAGAATTATTATTATACACCCTTTTAAACAGGGAAGCACCACGGCCACAAAATATTATGGGTCTTAAGTGAGCTATATTTGATTTCTCTAATATGTTTGGCAGAATCACCTAAACGCACGGAAATTCATCCTAGTTGGCACAAGATCCCCATAGTATAATGCCCCAGATGGCATCTGCAAGCTATTCAGCATTATATTACGTTCATTACACTAAAGACTACATTCCTGGAGCATATGATGAGCAGACTGTTCACAGTTAGAGTTAGGTCGACAACCGTTCGCGAACAGATGGAAAGAACTGGTAATGGTGGCGCCCCTTAGATGATTCGTCCCAGCGTTGTTGCCATTCGTATATGAGGTCATAATAGACATCGGACTGCTGTTGAAGCAATCTTGTAATTTTATCGAGATCTCGTGCGGCCAGAAAATCGCATTCCATGTTTTGTTGTCTTGAATAGTACACGGCTGCACGTCTCTGCACCTCGAGATCAACCGAAAGCGTACCCGCCAGCACCTGCAAAGCCTCAGTGCTAACCGTCCTATACGCCTTGCACAAGAATATCGGTGCAAGTTGTTGGCCTATACAGGTGCACCATAGCACATAGAACTTAAATAATAGCTCCGTATAAGATCTTTCGTGTATTAAATGATAGATATCGCTGTTGATATCCTTGTCAATGCACAGAAACTCTTTTTAGACTTTTCATTAACTATTTTAATATGTTCGATAAATGTAAAGTTTCTTTTTAAAACTAATCCTAAATAACACACTGAGGTTATATTTTTTTACGGTGACATTGGCAATTTTAATGCTTGGCGGTGATTTGAGGTTACCTTTTAAAAGTAGCTGGAAGGTTTTGTTGCGTGCAAAAGTTAAGCGATTACGTTCACCCCAATAAGATATCAAGTTCAAACATCTATTGGCTTATCTCTCAAGCCCCGCCCTAGACACCAGTAATAAGCCGTCATCAGCAGTTCATCGTTCAGAGTACATCCGGATGGTGTTGGTATCGCAAGAAAATCGTCGAAACCGATATTCCACAAGTATGGATCTGATCCCTAAGGACATCCCATTGTAAGCGCCTTCGACACAAAATGATGACCAAGTCTTAGTTTAGTTGTGCCTTGTGAAAAGTACGAAGAGACAAGGGAATAAATATTGTTAAGGCACCCTCGTGATTTTAATTTCAGCAATAGCACGGGCCACCATGAGTTGTCGAAGGCGCCAGATATATCTAAGAAAATAGCTAACACGTATTGAAGTTTTGTCTCTGTGAACTCTTGAAACTTCCTAACCGATATAACCGCATCAATTTTCGATTTCCCCAACATAAATCCAAATTGTCTATTATAAAATTTGACTCCACATGGCAGAAGCCGGGGCACTACAAGACTTTCTAAAAGCTTTCCTAACGATGGTAACAATGTGATTGGTCGCAAAGGTTTAGGATCATCTGGCGGCTTGTCGCCGCTTTTTGGTATTATACGAATATTACCGCAACGCCAAGTACGAGGATATATTCCTTTCGCAATGCAACGTTTAAAAACAGTCAACATCATGTCAATCGAAAGTTTACAAGCTTCTTTTATCATTTCGTTTGATATCGGCAAGGATCTAACGATACTGAGAAATTCGTCTAAAGATGGTCGTCTGAATCGTGGCTTAAGCCCTGCTTACCCTCTTCTGCATATACTCTTCCAGGATTCAACCTCATCAGGAATGATCGCGCTGTGGGTGGCGGCGGCGGTGTTGCAATCTATTTACGCTCTTATATCCCCTATTCTGTTATTAGTATATCGCCGCAGCCCCTCCAACGAATGCGGGTGAACATCTATTCCTTGAGGTTGAACTTCTTCACTCCAAAATCCTTCTTGGCGTCTTCTATTGCCCATCCTTACGCATCGACTTCTTCTCATCGTTTGAGTTGCTCCTAGAACAACTTACTCCTTCGTACAGTCATACCGTAATCATGGGTGATTTCAATACCTGCCTTCTCAAAAATGATTCTCGTTCGTCGACTCTTCAATCTATCATCCAATCTAGCAATTTATCTATTCTTTCTTCAAATGCAACGCACCATTTCCCACACTCTGCTCCTTCTCTGCTAGACCTTATCCTTGTTTCCTCTCCTAACCTGGCAGCTAAACACGGCCAGTGCTCTGCTGACGAGTTCTCCTACCATGACTTGCTGTATCTATCTTATCATCTCTGACCCCCCAAACCTAAATCAAAGATTATTCTGCAACGGAACTTCAAGGGCATGGATGTGGATACCTTGGTAAGGGAAGCGAACAGTATTGATTGGGCTCCTCTCTTCAGTGCTGATTGTATAGATGACAAAGTGGCGTTTTTTACCTCCAAATTAACTTCTCTATACAATAAACTAGCGCCAATCCAAGAAATGAAGGTCAAACGCCTCCCGTCACCTTGGCTAACTGCGGAGATAAAAACGCTTATCAAGAGGAAAGCGTTAGCAAAATCAAAATTTTAAAAGAATCCAAGCGAAAGTAACCGGGAGAAATACGTATCCATCAGGAATCATTGCAACAAGGTGTGTAGGAACGCTCAACGCCGATATATTCATAGCTCCGTTGAAATCGGGGATCCAGCTAAAGTCTGGAAATTTTTAAGATCACTGGGAGCAGCAGAGAGGATGTGGTTTTTGAAGAGAGTATCAGTTCAACTTAGAACAGACAAATGTCTATTCAAAAGATATTTTGCAAAATAAATATTAGTGCAAACACTGCTATTGTTGCTGTGTAAAACAAAGTTATCTTATTAGAAGGATTCACTTTACCGGCTCCACTTTGCAAATTGGATTTTTTTCTTTTATACTTGTAGCAAACAACAGGGTCAAAGAAAAAAAAACACTACTTAAGACTCATACCCAGACTCGGTAATGAATTATGAGATCCAGACACAAATACAGTATCTCAGGCAATAGCGAGGCCAAAAACTGTGTATGGTCTGTCAATACTAATTGGCACAATGCCAAAACTGTTTCTCTCCTTTAATCCATTCCAATCCTCACAGATACTTCTAAACAGACATGCGGTCCTCGGAATAGCTCATTCACTTTCCGATTTGTATGCAAAATCGACTGAATCAATTTTAATAATATAAATAAGAGCCTATTATTTTAACATAACTTAATAATAAATAATAACATGTAAGAACTTATTAATGATAATATCTAGACAAACTTAGCGGAGCTTTTACTATGCGCTGTCTGGGTCACAGGGAAAGATCATCCTTCAGTAGGCTAGAGTGAATATAGAAGTAAGTCGATAATTCGACACACACTTTTACTTATTGCATAAAATTACTTGGATTTGTAGCTGTAGTAGCGTACAAGCTAAACGTGTTAGCTAAACTTGCTCCAGAAAGTTATGAAAATAGCCAAGCACCAAATCGATATCTCGGGTATAGTATTCCGATGTCTATAACCATAGACGAATGGCAGCAACGCTGGGACGAATCATCTAAGGGGCGCCACGTTTACCAGTTCCTTTCATCTGTTCGCAAACAGTTTTCGAGGACACGGCTTGAGGTGGATCACTGTGTCGCTCAATTGCTTATAGGTCATGGTACCTTTAAGAGAAAACTGTATTCATTTAAATTAGTCGAGTCACCATTGTGTCAATACACCTGACTCTAACTGTGAACGTCTGCTCATCATATCCTCTGGGAATGTAGTCTTTGGTATAATGAACGTAATATAATGCTGACTAACTTACAGGTGACATCTGTATACTATTTCTGGAACTGCCTGAATGTCAAAACTCGGTGTGTTCGTGAGTCACTGCAATTGAATTTGGTGTATAGGAATTATAGTGGTGGACGTGTGGGAAGGATTAGTCTCGTAAATTTATCCAGTTGGTGGTAATAAACTTGCCCCCTACAATGTAAGTGCCGTTTAGTACGCTATTTGTCTACTCCTTATAAAAAGGTGATGGTATGTATGTATATGTTACATACGTGTCAAATAAAATATAATAGGAAAAAACAACAGCACTTTACTTCACTATAAATAATTGTACATGTTTACTGAATTACTGACACGTTTCGATGTTAGTGGTCCTGATTGCTCAGCCAGAGGTCGTGAATTAAACTCCCATGTAGACCAGATAATTGTATGATGAGCAATGATTGTATTATTTGTTGTGTGTGTATGGGTGTAATTTGTTTCTCATTAGTATATATTTAGAAATATATTAGCATGTTTATCACAAGCCTGATTATCATGATACTGCCTAGTTTGAGAATAAATGTCTGTGTGTGAGATTTACTATCTTTATTGAATACATACATGTATTCAATAAAGATAGTGAAAATGGTTACATATCTAAAAAAAAGAAGTTTTCAACCGGTATCCGATACAGTATAAGTTATACTGCATCGGATACCGGTTGAAAACTCCTTTTTTTCCCAACATCAACCGTTGGGCCCCGGAGCGCCAGTCATGATCACCTGCCAGGTTGGAGAATATCAACAGTTATTGCTCGGCTGTATCGGCTGTCTCCACTATGTCAGGGTTATTATTATTTCTATATAAAACTATTACACATTTTTTTAAACACATCCAAAATTAGACAGCAGACACTCCTTTTTCTATTCCATAGGTACACGTGTACGTTTAAGACCGTTACATCATTAATTATGTTTGTAATTGTACAATAGGATTTTCCACTATTTCCTCGTCTTTCCTCAACGTTTAATATTAGTTTTTACGAAAAGTGAACTTAATAATCTATAATGAGAATAAATGAGTATATAACACGTAATGATCTAATTTCATTAATAAGAACAAGTAAAAAGTAGAATAATGTTCTATTGATATTCGTTCATAGATATATGAACGAATATCGGTATGGTCGAATAAATCCATACTTCCATTCCTTTATAAATGTGAAAGTGAGTTTCTTTGTTTGTTTGTTACGCTTTTAGACCTAAACTGTTAAACCGATTCTAAAAATTCTTTCACCAATGAAAAGCTACATTCTCAGCAAGTAACATATGCTACTTTTTACCGCGATAACCGAAACACACGCGGGCGGCGCCGGGAGCAAAAGCTAGTACCTAATAAAATCTACCATCTGAATAACGATGCGTAGAAAAGAAATTGATCATTATTTAACAAAGCGTGTACAATTAATAAATTAAGAAAGAGATAAAACAAAAGTATTTCAAAAAGAAACAAATAATAATTAACCGCTCCAGGCGGTCGTAATAATCCCGTACTTATAAAAGAGACAGTTAATATAAGAGCGAAAGCTCTGCGCAACATTTTAATATGAAATTCATTAGGAGATGCCGTAAAAACATATTCTATTATATCTTTGAATAACAATAACTATTACAGGTAAATACAGTTTTATACTTAGTTGATAGAAATAAACGTCAGTAGTACATGGCTTTGTTGCAAGTTTATGAGACCATTTTATTATTACAATATTATTATTCGAGAAATTAAGCGATTGATATTTTGTAAACCGTAATTTTTATATATTGCGTGATTGCGATCAATACTAGTTTCTTGTAAACGATTAGCAGTTGAATTTATTTTGCTTCTTAGGACGTCTATATTATTTTTCAGCCAACCTTCGTTATTTTATAAAAGCCGAACGTTTTTTTACAGAGAGAGATCTATGCCACCACCTATGGCCTACATCTCTTGGAACGGTTAGTGATTATCAAGTTTAAATCATGGTGACTTTAGCAATTGTCAAGGCGCTAAGGTGCTGGATTGATACACACTTTCATCAGTGTAAACTTTTTTTTATTGTAGTCTGATAAACTCTATTGACTATTGAATACATGTACGTATTCAATAAAGATAGTAAATCTCACACACAGACATTTATTCTCAAACTAGGCAGTATCATGATAATCAGGCTTGTTATAAACATGCTAATATATTTCTAAATATATACTAATGAGAAACAAATTACACCCATACACACACAACAAATAATACAATCATTGCTCATCATACAATTATCTGGTCTACATGGGAGTTTAATTCACGACCTCTGGCTGAGCAATCAGGACCACTAACATCGAAACGTGTCAGTAATTCAGTAAACATGTACAATTATTTATAGTGAAGTAAAGTGCTGTTGTTTTTTCCTATTATATTTTATTTGACACGTATGTAACATATACATACATACCATCACCTTTTTATAAGGAGTAGACAAATAGCGTACTAAACGGCACTTACATTGTAGGGGGCAAGTTTATTACCACCAACTGGATAAATTTACGAGACTAATCCTTCCCACACGTCCACCACTATAATTCCTATACACCAAATTCAATTGCAGTGACTCACGAACACACCGAGTTTTGACATTCAGGCAGTTCCAGAAATAGTATACAGATGTCACCTGTAAGTTAGTCAGCATTATATTACGTTCATTATACCAAAGACTACATTCCCAGAGGATATGATGAGCAGACGTTCACAGTTAGAGTCAGGTGTATTGACACAATGGTGACTCGACTAATTTAAATGAATACAGTTTTCTCTTAAAGGTACCATGACCTATAAGCAATTGAGCGACACAGTGATCGACCTCAAGCCGTGTCCTCGAAAACTGTTTGCGAACAGATGAAAGGAACTGGTAAACGTGGCGCCCCTTAGATGATTCGTCCCAGCGTTGCTGCCATTCGTCTATGGTTATAGACATCGGAATACTATACCCGAGATATCGATTTGGTGCTTGGCTATTTTCATAACTTTCTGGAGCAAGTTTAGCTAACACATTTAGCTTGTACGCTACTACAGCTACAAATCCAAGTAATTTTATGCAATCAAGTAAAAGTGTGTGTCGAATTATCGACTTACTTCTATATTCACTCTAGCCTACTGAAGGATGATCTTTCCCTGTTACCCAGACAGCGCATAGTAAAAGCTCCGCTAAGTTTGTCTAGATATTATCATTAATAAGTTCTTACATGTTATTATTAATTATTAAGTTATGTTAAAATAATAGGCTCTTATTTATATTATTAAAATTGATTCAGTCGATTTTGCATACAAATCGGAAAGTGAAAGAGCTATTCCGAGGACCGCATGTCTGTTTAGAAGTATCTGTGAGGATTGGAATGGATTAAAGGAGAGAAACAGTTTTGGCATTGTGCCAATTAGTATTGACAGACCATACACAGTTTTTGGCCTCGCTATTGCCTGAGATACTGTATTTGTGTCTGGATCTCATAATTCATTACCGAGTCTGGGTATGAGTCTTAAGTACTGTATCTTTTTTTCTTTGATCCTGTTGTTTGCTACAAGTATAAAAGAAAAATATCCAATTTGCAAAGTGGAGCCGGTAAAGTGAATCCTTCTAATAAGATAACTTTGTTTTACACAGCAACAATAGCAGTGTTCGCACTAATATTTATTTTGCAAAATATCTTTTGAATGGATATTTGTCTGTTCTAAGTTGAACTGCTGTATTCAATGCTGAAATTTTATAACACGTGGTCCGTTAAGTTCTATATTAGAGTTTTTGGGAGATCGGTTTTAATACTTTTTTTCAAAAACAACATCCTCTCTGCTGCTCTCAAAAGTTTTGTCCATAAAGACAAAGTAACGAACTTAATTATATTTCAAAGGTTTGCATACTTGCGCTTGTTTTGAGTTCCATTATTTGACAACAGACTAAAGCTCAATATCAAATTAGGTTTTAAAGAATATGATTTTGTATGGATAACAATAATACAATATCTAATACATCTAAAATGGTTGGTTGTTTTAAACGATTGATCAATCAGTGAGGCAGTTCTACTAAATCAACACCAAAACGTGTGTCAAACGTAGGAGTTAGCAACGACACACAGTCCTCTTTTTTGTTTCTGCTTTTCTGTAACATAATGTATTCAAACATTTGTTGAGTTTAGAAACAAGAGAAATAGAATTTTTCTTATTTCCAAACAATAATGTATTGAAAAAAGAATAGTATTTTGGCATATCATATTACAGTGTATATTATTTTCCAATTTATACGAAACGTTCTTTGCTTAAACTGTTTTGTTTTTATTCATCCTCACTTCTGCGTGGAATCACGATCATGGAGTGAAGTTTTACCGAAATAATACAAACCACTCTGTCTGTAATAATACTTCATATATATGTATGTTTTTTAACGGATGTAAAAATAATAAAATAAGTTTTTGTTTCATTAGAAAAGACGTTTAAATTTTTTTTTGTATGTTTGTTACGCGATGTCTCCGTCAATTGTGGACCGATTTTCAAAATTCTTTTTGTTTACAATTTAATCAAAGGTTTTTAAGGTTTAAGCAAAATCAAATTTGATTCTAGCTTTCAACAAAACGATGGAAAAACTGGAAAAAAGTGGTCTAAGTCTGAAAAATTTTACATATACGAATAAGAAGATTGCCGATGACATTTACGAGGCGATTAACTCGACATCATTTCTTGGTGTATCGGTAAGTACCGCCTTATTAACCCATAATATTTTCTATATTTAAAAATGACGACAAAATTTCCTACAACATTAAATGAATAAGAAGTATAACGTGACAAGGATCTTTATTATTTGTCAAAAATCAGATCAGTGTGAAAAAATAAGTAATTGTAATTTAAAAAATTACGTCATGCATCGAGATTAAATAATTTAATCTCGACTTGAGATTTGGATGTAAGTTTATTTATAGGTTATGATATCTTTATTCAATAAAACGATGAAATTGTACATAAACGCCGTCAGGGGTGCAGAAAAGAAATGGGGTACCTTTCATCTAAAAAGGTACGGATCTCGTGTCGATCTCACTAGAAAAGCAAATTTAACGCGAGTGATGAAAGCCAATTTAAATCATGTTTATTTTTAGCAGTTAATTATTATAATATATTTTTGACATTAGAATCTAGTAAACCTGAAGTTAATTTTTACTCTAAGAAACTAATTAAATTTAAGAAGAATATTCAAAATCTTCTAAGTAAATTTTATACATGTAAGAGTTACCTTTAATATTACTTTCATCAAATATAATTTGTAATTTCTACATGTGTGTGACAATATAACAATGTCATCTCATTAGCATCATCGAACATCACCTTTTAATTCCGTTTGTTTTGGTTTTCAGTTATTAAAACTATAATTTATTTTTTTATAAAAGTATTTTTGACATTTATTATTCTAAACTTTGGATGTTTTAAATAAACCCAAGGGGAAGTACTTCAAAGTTAGTTATAAATGTACTTGAAAGCTTTCACACAAGTTTTCTAAAATATTTTTCATGACGTATTCTTCAAACTATAGTAATGTTACTGTTATATAATAAATAAAAGTTGTCGGTTTATTATTATTTTTTTGTTTTACTTTTATTGCAGTGGATTTATTAACACTCACTATAACAAACAAGAAATCACTATATTACTCGATAGTCGCACCAGAAATTCACTTCGATGTTAATAGTCGTAAAACGATACTGTCTCGTATGGCCAACACGCTCCGATTTTATAGCGCTATCGAATTTACTAGAATAATCTCTATTCGATAGTCGAGTATTCGATAGTCTGTTCCAGACAAATAAGAATATTCCAGTATCAGTTAAGCGTTACTTGCAGCGCTATAGGTATCAGAATTATTAATCACAATCTCAATAGTTGTAGTTGACTCGGTACTAGATGGCGCTGTCCTTCACATTCCATACAATTCTGGAACAGTAGAACCATTTAATCCTATGACGCAACAGTCAGTGGCAAAAAGACTAAATCAAGCATCCTGAATTATATATTTAATTACTAACTTGACGTAACAGGGGCTATTTATCGTGATCTTTCTTTATATTTTATATATTATTAGAATGTAGGAAGGAAACACTTACTAACGTGAATAAATTGACCAAAGCGCGATAAGAGAAGTTTACAGTCTGTTGTAGCCATTTTCACAAAAAAAAAGGGAAAGTTTGAATGGGCCGCACAATAAGTTGTGCAAAGTGGATCACTTCAAGTAATGGAACATTAAAAGGTTCATGGTAATAATTAGTAAGAGTCCAATAAAACTTTGATTATAAGAATATTTAAAGTAGTAAGTATTCAAATACCACAAAAAAAAACCAAGATAATGAAGTATCTATCGATGTAGGATGCTTTATGAAATCAGATACTGAGACCTGAGAATTGGCCGTCGGATCGGATAAGATCGCGGGTATGCATACGTTCATTGTACGCACTAATACCTACTACTCTATTGTACATCTTTTGTCCATCAAAAAATAAGTAAGGTCTGCGGTGCACTGGGATTTTGCTCTAATAGGTATAAGTATTACATTCATTAATTAAATAAAACACTAATTTATTACCAAATTACACTGGGCTACAAGACTACGATCTGATGTAAATAAGCAAGAACATTTTATATTTAGTATCTTAACATGTTTTTATGGCAATATTTTAATATGTTTTAGGCATATTAATAAGTCAACAAATTTCGCTCGCTCATAATAATCCATGTGGCATCAATAAGTTTTATGGCTTCTGGCGGTGTTTATTCTAGTTAAACCCCTAAACCCAAAAAGTTAAGTATCATGGCAGTTGTGGTGACATAAAACAAACTGTAATTAAAGCTATAAAATACATTTACGACTAGTTCTTGCCCTCGAGTAGACGCAAGTTGTTTCCAACGCGAGCATGTGTTATATAAATTTATTTATCACCGCAAATTTAAATTGCAAATATGATTTGTTTAAACATTTATATTATATTGCAGAATATGTCGCAAGTTCAAAATATAAAGTACATATTAAGTGGATGACATGTACTGATTTTGTAATAACAAATCACAGTCCATAAATTGCTGTTTTTAATTTAAATATTGTATTTCGTAAAACAACAACATAAATAAAAGGATGTATTCAAATAACATTAAACATAAAACAACGAGACACAAAAGCCTTATTATATTTAAAAAATATATATTTCATTACAGACGGGACTAACTTTATCCCAGCAGGGTTTATTCAAGAGAAATTAAATTTGTTACTTTCGTCAATATCGAAACTAAATTACGATCTTTAGCCTGTCAAGGGTACCATGAAAAGAGAAAGAATTTACACTGATCTGCTGTTAAAACGCTTTAATTAAAGTGTTTAAAGAACTTACATTTTAATTTCATTACCATTTGTAAATCAAGAAAAAAATTGCGGAGTTTTAAAAGTTGATTAAAAAAGTAAATGTTGCTACGAGCTAAACTTAATTTTCTTTTCTGCAACAGCTCTAAAGAAACATAGCTGTTTTAAGCGTAGCATTCTTTTTAACCTTTAATCTCCTGAACAACCTACAAATTAAGTAAGTGGTTGCAAAAGGCCAGTTTTGACTGTTAAAACTACATAAAAGCTCAAAAGAAAGTTAATAAAAGGGATTCGTTTTTATCTAATGTATTCTATCTGTTTGTTCCTGCCAAACTTTTGGCCCTATACAATATATAATGAATCAAGGATTTTCAAATAACCCTGCAATACCCCATCACCTGCTAAACCAGGCCCTGATATAAATTACGTTCTCAGATGACGTTTCCTAGTCATAAACTATTTCCTTACCAAATTTTATCTTCGTGAGCCACGCAGTTTTTCAGATTTATTCATTAGTCTAAGCATGATACAAAAATAGAAATAAATAAATTTCTTGTCAGTGAATAAATTAATTATTTTTAATTACAAAGAGCCATTTACTTTTATTTTAAAACATTTTATTAAATCATCTAATATTATCTTTTGGATTTTGTTACCTAAATTATGAGTTACTATCTAAAAGCCGTTGAATTACTAAAAATGTTGTATTACGAGTATGTACATAATTAATTCCCTTATTACCACTGGGAGCCGCCAATTCTATCGAAAGGCATTAATTTAATTGACCCAAATTTCGTTACATGCTTATAGTCTAATGTACCTACTTTATAAAAATATTAAAGCGCAGATGAAAGGAGCAACATTGCTTTTGACCTGTAGATACCACCTTAACACGTTGTATCTTTTATGAACATTCTCTACAAAGGACCTAATTTAAATTTGATTTTTTTACACACAGGGTCTCGTAGCATTTTCATCACAAGGTGACCGCATAGCTTTGACACAGATCGAACAGCTGACTGAAAATCACTATGTTAAATTGGGGTATTACGACACGCAGGCCGATAACTTGACGTGGTTGGACAGAGAGCGGTGGGTTGGTACGTATGCAATCTATAAATACATATCAGAAGACATAGATCATATATATATATATAACATAGAGAATAACTCAGAGTTGTATGTAAATGTTCAATCAGCAGCTAAAAAAACGATATCTGGCTGTCTGCCTGGATGGATAAGATGTCTAAAGCACAGCCAGTTGGAATGATGATGATGATTAATTTCCGTACGTCTACATAATTTTGGTACATTCCGAGTGTGTACTTATACATTAAGTTTACGTCTTAGCTTTTTGTTCCAACATCCGTTTAGTTGGAAATTTTAAATACAAATGTTAATCATTTAGTGTTTGTCTTGATATTTAAGAAAATATTATATGATTTACCATCAAGTTCAGACGGAGTTGATGACCTTTTTTCTGTTGGGGTAAAACCGAGAATTCTAAAAGCCACACGAGGCACCGACATTTCGGAGTAAATGAAATAGTTTGTTCAAAGCTACGTCAGTATTTTGAGTCATTATTTCATGAAAGCTAAGGATAATTTCATTAAAGAATTGTAAAAAATTAAAAGAAATGCACAAATTAAAAAAAACTATACATTTATAGTTCGCAGATTCTACCACATGTAATTTCTTATTAAATTAATTAAACATTGTTTTTAAATTGGGCATTTAGGAACATCGATGACTATACTCCAAATTCTTCTGTACATTTTCATTTTCACATATTTTAAAACATTTAACCAAAAATATGGATGTTGAAAAAAATAATTGAAAATATAAATACGATAAAAAATATTTAAGCTTAGCTTTTTTTTTGTAAAGCATTATGAATAACAGTGAATGTATTTTCGCTTGCGAATCTCTTTCCAATACGATAGTTTTGGTGTATATTGGTGTTTTACGAGCTTCAGAACTATTGCGCGAAGGCATGAAATGAATTTGGACTCGTACAGGTGGAAAGGTGCCTCCGGACCGAACGGTGATAGTAACAGAATTACGTACCGTCTCGCTACCTCTTTTTGCCTGCATGACCGCTCTTTGCATCGCCGGGATTCTCGCTGCCATTGCGTTAATTATTTTCAACATCCTACACAGACACAGGAGGTAAGATCTTATATTTCACTTTAAAAGCCTTTGTCAAAGTCAGTCTCCAGAATAAGTTACAGAAATCGAGTAGTGCACTGTATTGAGGAGGGTCCCGTTAATGGTAATGGCTTAATTTACTTAAAGTTAAGTCTCATTCAAACTGAAATGAACTATGGTGAAAGCATCAGCAATCATGATGTTTATTTAGAAAATACTTCATAGCCCTTAAAGTTATTTATATCGATGTTATACGTTCTGCAGACATCTTACTTAGAACGGTATTGAAAATCTAAGACTTTACTCATCGAAAAAATATATCTATAAAACGGCGTTCGTTCGTACTATAAAGATTCACCGACTGTTGTTTTACTCTAGCGGGAATTCTATATCTGGAACTAGCAATTTGTGAGATGAATGTAAATGTCCTGAGGCAATGAACAGTCAAAGGAAAACTCTCTATAGTGTTGAACATCTCCAATATTTATTTTGTTTTTGTTTTCATAAAAATGTAATTAATTTTCTAATTTTTTCTCTTACTTTCTTAGAACTTGATTAGAAGTCAAACAACAGTACAAAATAATATATACCTAGTACTAGCTATGGAAAAGAGAGCCTTCCCAAATGATCGCGGCAAGAGTGATGCAAGTTTCTTACAGAAAACCAATGTCCAGCAATCCTTACGTCGCTTTCACCGAATGAACTTGGTTATCAGAGGCCCACTGGGCCTTTGGACTCTTGGGTTGCAAGTACTACAAGCCTTCTGCCGTCTACGGGTGCTTGACGAGTTCCCGGTTATGTGTATAGTAAGGGACTACCTATAGTCCCTTACCATATACATAAACGAAAACTTGTCTGCTCGTTTGCCCCCTTATAAAAAAAAGGCGATCACGATATTAGGAGACTGCCGGCGACGCGACATGTAGTTTTTAGTACTTAAGAACCGTTCAGTCGTTAACTTTGTTACACCGCCTAGAATTTTTCTTTTATATAGGTACTTTTACTGTGAAATAACGTAAAACATTATCTGCAGGGTAATCCAGTGGTCGCATCCAGCTTGTAATACTGTGATGTTATGTGGATGTTGCGTCTGTCTAAGTGCTGCAATCGCCCTGGGATTGGATGGACGATGGGTATTAGAACAACATTTCTCTGGCCTTTGTGCTGCTCGTGCATGGTTGCTGGCGATCGGGTTTTCTATGGCATATGGCGCATTGTTTACAAAAGTATGGCGTGTACATAGACACACTACTCAACCAAAAGCTGAAACAAAGGTACATCAAAATATTTTTTTTATATTTTTAGAAAAATACACTTTCCGTGTTTGTACCAAATTATATACTATGTTAAACTATGTTACACAGGATAACATAAAACGGCCGTACAGAGTAATATATATATATTGCTCTGTTTTTCAGTATTTTTTATTCTTTTGTATTTATGTCACCTCTCACGTTATCATGTATATCCCATTTCACTCCAGACTTGATGAGTATACGTAATACTCAAGGTTATATGGGTATATATAACCTAAAAATATTATTACGTTAGAATGAATTTGAAGCAGACTCATGTTTCACTGATATTAACGCTAACATAAATTATATGTAATGTGACGTAAACGTTGCCAGGTCGTTACAAAAGTATTTTGCGTTTTTCATCCCGCAGAAGACAGAGATACCGAAAGTTAGTCCTTTCAGTTTCGATACTATACAATGAAAATTAGATTATCGTGTGTCACATTTCGAATGTTTGCTTTTTTTGTTCCTTTATTCATTGCGACCTCTGAAGTTTTCCTATAAGACTTATTGAGATTACATCAACGAAGCTCTTGTTAGGAAATAGGAAGCAAAAGCTTTTAGAGAATGGTATTTCCAGAACCTGTATTTCAGCGCTCCTTTACACGACATCATTTAAATATATTGTTGACCTTTGATTTACATGTATTAGGATAAGCAGCAAACTTTACGAGTTTCAGTGAATGAAACGTATACGATTTATTTGTAAAGAGAAAAGAAAAAGTAATTTTAGATTTTAAACCTTGACGCCCTCTGGAAATTATAAATTATTACGTTAAAAATAAAAAATATATGATAATAAAGAATAAAAGTATTACTAAACCGACATTCTTTATGATATTATTACTTAGTGTTTCTGGTTTATATAATTACGTATTGACTGTTACTTTAGAAAAAACGTATCCATGGCTGGAAATTGTACACGATGGTTGGAGGTCTCTTAGTGGTGGACGTAGCACTTCTGACGGCTTGGCAATTAAGAGACCCACTCAAAAGAAGTGTAGAAACATTCCCTTTGGAAGCCCCTAGACATCACGACGATGACGTGCACATACGGCCGCAGTTGGAACACTGTGCAAGCAATCATAATACGGTGTGGTTGGGTAAGCAAACCGATATTTTATTACAAATATTCAATACAACATCGCAAGGTTCTACAAGAATCACTTTTTTTTGTTAGGTGGCCTTGAGGTTAGATAGGTCTAATGCGCGAAACAAGGCCTACATTAACTTGGTTGTAATTCTTTATAATTTAAACATCTTCCATTTTCTTACTGCAGGGTTTTACTATATCCAAATACGGCTAAATCATACTTCAAAACATTCAGATGATGAGTGGAAACTGATGCGCGTAAGGACCCATAGAAGCCCATTGTAGCTCCATTTATTTTTGTTTTAGCGTAGAATAATGCTCGGAGTAATTAAACAGAACATTATTAGCACTATTTCAATTTAACCCAGTAACAAACTTTTACGTTTGTATGTGAAATGTATGTTTGAGCATCAAGGGCGGATCCAGGGGGTGGGTCATGGGGGTCATGACCCCCCTGGGCTGGGTCCACCGTGGACCACTATTTAAAATTTTTAAACATAGGTAATGGTTTTAAGTAAGGATATTTTTTTTTGTCACAATATAGATTTCATGTAAATACCTTCAATATTTAATCAATTTATTATAAATTAATATTTTGTATGATGGCATACGCATTATTCGGGAACGAACGCATCGAAAATTTGAATTTTACCGCGCCACCGCCTCCTGACATCTGATGTCACATTTCGTGTGACACTGACATATGTTTAGGGGTAAATATTTTTTAGATGTGTTGAACTCATGAAAGATCTTTCTCTACGTTACGAAGAATTAAATCGTGGCTAAGAGCTTCCATGGTTGAAGAACGTCTAACCGGACTGGCACTTCTTCACGTCCATAAAAACGTACCCATTGAAGTATATGAAGTGATAACGCGTTTCGGGAGAAGACGTAAAAGAAAACTTGATTTTGTGATTTAAATATAGGTATTTTTAAGTACAGGGTGAGTAGGTACTTATAGCCTGGCAAAAAATAATAGAAATAAACGGGGGCGCCACTGTACAAGCTAAATACGGGCAATATATAAATTGTCTTTTAGAAGGAATTATTACTTCTGACTGACGTCTTCGGTACCTGTACCATAGACAAGAAACCCGTTCTTAACCATAGATTAGTAGAGAAAGGGTTTCCAAAGTAATGAAATTTTAGTTGCCGTTTCTACCATTTTTGCCAGACTATACATACATTAATAAAATACCTACTTTTTACTTTTATGTATGATTATAAAAATCAAATTACAACTTCTTGTGACTTGACCACGACTATGTGACCCCCCCCCCCCTGGCACCAAAGCTGGATCCCTTGTTGAGCATCGTTGTTTATCATGTTCATGGCTACATTTTGAGAACACATAAAAAATACTTAAAAGCTAAATAAATCATAAGTCACGAAAGTGAGAAAAGTAAATGAAATTATATAACTAGTAGTTACGACTCAGTAAACTTATATTTTAAAGGCCTGTTCCTACAAAAGGCAAACTGCAACTACAAGTACAATAGCTGAAATTGAAATAGCGCCAAGCAACTAAGTAAACGTTATCCATGCTACAAATTCATAGCACAACACTTTTCATTCGAGAACGCATCTCATTGTATGTACATCCTTCAACGAATACATGATGTCTGTCATACACATCACTAACTCCGGAACATTTTCACGTACGTGCTACTAAAAACAGCGTTATTTTTCTTTACAAATTGTGTTGGAACCACTAAGCACAAACATTTTATTTGATACCGGCTTTTAATTACAAAATAAAATTACTCAAACTGCCGCTTACTTTTATACAAACATAAACAGAAACAATTGTATAAGATGTGCTCTAATATGAAGAGATTTAAAGTACCGTAAACGGTAAATTATATTACATAAATCTCCTTCCAAGTCCAGTGCGACTCATTTGCGACGGTAACTTGGAGAATTTTAAAAGTTTTTTTAAAGTCATTAATAACAGCTGTTTTCTTACGTCATTTAAAGTTGAGGATTCTTTGGATAGATTCCATGAGATAGAATTAAAGGTTTTATGCTCAACATATTACATTGTATAATATTTGGACGTATGTTTGTCGCAGTATTATGTATATGTAGTACTTGTTATATGTTTCAACAAAATACTTTTGTTCTTTGCAGGATATATACATCCAGTTAACTTATGTGTCGGCACCAAGATAACGTAATTATAATTGTTCTAGGTGTGATGTATGGATACAAAGGATTGGTTCTTGTGTTCGGTTTGTTCCTGGCCTACGAGACAAGATCTGTGAAAGTGCGGCAGATTAATGATTCAAGATACGTTGGCATGAGTATTTATAATGTAGTCGTGTTGTGTCTGATTACGGCGCCAATCACGCTCGTGATCATGAGTCAGCAGGATGCATCCTTCGCCTTCGTGTCTTTGGCCATCGTTTTCTGCTGTTTCCTCAGCATGGCACTGATATTTATTCCTAAGGTAAGTTACATTAGATTACTTCTTCATTGTATTTTTCATTATAAATTATAAATTAACTTTGTACAGTAATTACAATCAAGTAGCTATTCTAGCCGTAGCTTTCTTAAAAATATATTCTTCTGGGTACATAAAATATAGAATTACTTATTTTCTGAATTAGTATAATTGTTGCTTTATAGTTGTATAACATTATTTTCTTCTTATTCTTATATTTAACTAACAACGTTGATATTTAAGCTACTCTTCGTTATTAATCTATCGTTTAAATATAACACAGTAATGAATTTATGCAGTTCAATACATCATATTCCCTCATGCAAATGAGTACCTGAGTTCATTGAGCTGTACAACATTTACTAATATCCATTGACATATTTGCCGTCACGATCAAGTCGCTGTATGTTGTCACATGAATTGAAAGTACATTAATTTAAGTAACCAATTAAAACGTGTGCACCGAATAGGATATATAGTGTTACTGTTAATACAGTCCATAATTAGATTTATTAAGATGACATATTAAGCTAAACTTATTCACACAAGATTGTTGGAAAGTTGCAAATTTTGGGTTACAATCCAGGTGCGGATATCCCCATCTAGTTTACTATCGATGTGAAGCCACTTTTAAGATAAACATTTAGTTTGGTTGCAGGGCTTAACAAATATACCTACCAGCAAAGTGTGGGTCACATTAGATTTTTCTTGGTAGTACATAATAATATTTTTTATGTTTTTGAGTCTGAAATAAAAAGTATCCTTTGATAAATGACTCACCTGTTTAAAAATAATCAGAGAGTTACATTACAAACTAAAAACTGAATTAAATACATCTTCTCCAAAGTTTTGAAGTAGTTTTAGTTTCTTACAGTTGACCTCCATCTCTATCTACTTACATAGCGGTAGCCATAGATCCTACACTGAACTAAAGTTTGATCTCGCTCCGTTAAATTCGGGTTTAAATTCTACGTAACATTCGCCCAACGATATCGTAGTTCTAAACAAAGGGACTATTGTTTATCTATATTAAGCTAGTAACCATTTACTCCGCTATGTAAATTACATTATAATATATCTGACTATGCAATAAAAGAGAGTTAACTAGTTACTAGTTAACTCTCTTTTATTGCATAGTCTAGTTAAGTATCTACATCATATCTATCAGCATATATACATATGCTGATAGATATGATGTAGATACTTTAGATCAGGATTATCTTCATCAGTAAAAGGATGGATGATTTTAACGTACGCCAAATCCTCAAGGGACAAATTTCAACTTGCCTCTATCTTTCTTTATTGTTGTTGTTTGTGTTTATTCTCACGATTAAATTATGAGCTTACTTATTAGTTGACTAAATAAATTACAATTTAAAACAATCTTAGACGTCACCTACTTCTTAATTTTCATATCTAAATCAACCTTTATATGTACATGTAGTTGGTTGACGAAACTTACTTATAACTAGCTTAATAAGTGAAAAAGAATTCCACTATCATGAAGCTCTTTATTACCTATTAAATCGATTCGCCTATCTAACGCGCGTTTTTACAGCATTAGTTATGTACAATTGTTTTTTTTTATGAAATACTAGAAATTCTCCGCAGTTTCACCTACGTTTTAGTCACAGCTCTGCTTTTCAGCCGTGTTAGGTAAAAAATGATTTGTGTTTTTACGAAACGGAACAAAAACATACCTTTTATATAAGTTATCCATGGACACCCTAGAAAAAAAACGTAGGAAATTAAAGAATACCTAATAACTTCGTAGATGCTTTACTTTTTTATGACAGGATTATACGTACATTTAGTATAAATTTATACAAAATATAGATGTTTTATGTTCCAAATTTCCTCACAAGTAGATCCTCCTATAAGTACGAGTATATTAGAGTCAAATCTATTTACCGAAGCATCTCAACTGAGCAGCCAGTTAAAATGTGACATATCTCCCAATTCACTCATTTTTAATTATTGACTTGAATAATATGAAGAAATTGCGCGTCAATTGAAATACTGCTTCTTTGAAAAATGATAGTCGTATGGATGGTCCGAGAAGCCACATATATAATGTATGGTAACTTTCTTTAATTTTAACATTATCGAGCTGAGATTTTGTTTGATTTGTTTGATTATGTTCCTAGTTCTGACATGGCTCATCAATCCAAACATTTAGATTGAGAAGCCAAATTTATGTTCCTATAACTTTAAAAGTATTATACTACAAAATCGAGAATCGAGGCTACAATTTTTTTTTAATTTACTACTAAATAATAATATTAATTTTATTAATATATGAAAAGTGACTCCTCAATCCAAACGCACAAATTATATGGTTCGTAAAAGACCTTAAAATGAAATAATACGTAAAGCCGACTCATAACTTCAAGTTTAGTTCAGCTCTGTAATTATTAGTATAAAGGGCGAATTGATTCAGTCGTTAAAATATAAACTAAAATGTGATTTACGAGAGAAGTTGGGCTCCCTTCTGTATTTAAGGCGGGAGCCTAGCTACGAGATACTTACGCACAATTTAACATGGTAATCGCGTTGTGAACTGGCAGTTCAAATAGAAAAATGTATTTTTGTGACATTAATGTTATCTGTAACGAATCCTACTAATAACAAAATAGCTCAGGGTTTAATTTTATATTTAGTTTTACTTAATTTTTGTAAATGTTTGGATGGAACAAGAATATGTAAAATAGATAAATAAAATCGTGAAGGTAAATTAATTCCGTATATATTCTGAACGGGGTCGTGTCGCTTTTACTTTAATACCTTGTTACTGACCGAAATTATATACAATATAAATACCTACATACATGAGCCCATCCGTATATCTTTAGTAATTACCTAGGAACTATTCAATTACGAAGCGGTGCCGCTGCATAATAAACCATTACTTAAGAGTTTGTATGCGTTTATACTCGAGTTTATTGGACGATTTAGTATGCTCATAAATAGTAATAGTTGAAGTCAATGGAGAATTTAATATAAGTCTACAGAGATATAATATTATTTATTTCTCTATTTATTAAATCTAAATAATAAAATAAATAATAGAATGTAATTTAAAACTATAAATATACTTTTTTAATCTAAACTACTGCACATCCAAATTTTAATTAGAAAGGTATATTACTTAACCGCTGAGGCGTCCGTTAACAACTATGGACTAAACATAGGATTAGCTATTACAGCGTTTGAGAGTATGTAACTAATGAGGTTGTCTTGGCAGGTAATTGAGGTGATTCGTCACCCGACGGAACGCGCGGAGAGCGGTCGCGGTTCTGGCTCAGGCTCCGCCCCCGCTGATGAGGAGCGCTACCGGGAACTGGTCAAGGAAAATGAAGAACTGCAGAAACTTATTGCACAGGTAACTTTTATGTTCTTAAAGTGATGATGTTTTTCCATTTTCTTCTCAATTTTTTAATAATATACAGTTTAAGCAAGAGTCTGGGTGTATTTAGTTATGTAGTGATATTGAAAAGACTAGATTTAAATTAAATCATTGACCGGAATTAGATTTAATCTAAATAACTTACTTTAGTAAGGCCTCTTATGATACATTTTACTATAAAAAAAGTAAAAACGAGGCAAGAATGGTGTGAGTAAATCAAGGACCACACCTTCGGTCTTGTCGGCCAATCACAAAAAAAATCGGTGAAAATGATGGGGCAAGACCGGCACGTTAGCTGTCGTGAAATAGCAGAGGCTTAAACCACTTGACAGTTTAGAATCATTTGAGAAGATTGTACTAAACAAAGATCCTTCGTATTGGGGTCACATAAATTAACGCAAAGACATTTGATTGGCCAAATCACCAACAGAATAATGCTGCTCTACACATTGAAACGGTGAAAATGGGTGAAATGCTAAAATATCAAATTTGTTCAATAGCTGGTAACCCTCCCTAAACTACTGCGAATCCTGAGTTGGAAGTAAACAAGATTATGTTGAGTGTTTGGTGCGATTTAAATTGAGCCTGTAATGTGCAAGGTGCTTGTAACTCAGTCTTATAATGTGCAAGCAATCCTAGTTAATCGACTGAAATTGAGCAACAGAAAGAAAAAGGTTTTCCTTAATGTACGAAAATTTCATAAACACAATGTGCAGTTACACACATTATTGATATTTCAAAACAAGTACGTGAAACTTCATTGGAAATTTCTGATGATTCCACCGTATAGCCCAGACCTTGCATCCTCTGAGTACCATTTGTTTCAGTCAACGTAAAACTCTCATGATGGGGAAAACTCAACCGACCGAAACGCCGCTGAAAATCACTTAGCCCCTTCCTTTCTCAGCAATAAAACACAGAAATTCTACATAGACATGTAGTAGTTTCATTTTTTTTTTTTTAATAATACCCTTGTGTACCAGTATCATAAATGAAATACGATACTAGTATCGTTATCAAATAACAAATGATTTCATTTATTTAAGTAAGACATTCTCTTACTTAATTTATGCATTTAGAAAATTCAGAACACATAGATAGGACTACCCGAAGAATAGCAACCGTTCTAAGTAAATGCCAATGGGACTTCTGTAATATTGCCACTTGAGAATACTTATATAATTCAATAATGTTACAATCCGGCGAACTTCTGCTGAATAATTGCCTCTTCAACTATTAAGTTGCGACTGGAGTAGGAGGCGTACAACGCATGCTAATTCATCGAAAACAGGAGCTATTGGTGCTAATTCTGTTGTTCGGAAATTCTCTAAACTAAACTAAAAATTCCTAAAAAAAAATTTAGTCTTGCCAAATTCTACGTTTTCAGAACAGGAAACGTTATTTGACAGAACGAAACAAATTTTTAGTTTAGTTTAGAGAGTTTTCGAACAACAGAATTAGCACCATTATCTTCGGTAGTAATGGCATAAAATACATATATACCTATAAAGATATTGGTTACTTTAAACCTTTATGATGCTTTTTTTTACTTTCCCTTTTCAGCTCTCCTACTTTTTCGATCCTGACTTAACCCCTCAGCAGTCTGAAGCTTCAACTTCCTAAAAATTACAGGTCTTTATCGCTTGTATTATGGGCAGTGCTCCGAGAAATAGTTCTGACTTATAATAGCCGCAACTTTCCGCCACCGTTCTACAAGACAAAACATTCATCCCAATCACTTGAATAATGATAACTGTCAATCTGCTCTACGTTCTTCCAAACTACTTTTGAATCATCACGCTTTTCAGTAGTGCAGCATAGTCCTACCTCAAAGGCCAGAAATGCACTTGGGACTTCTGAGTTGTAGATGAGTGATGATTTATTCATCGAAATTTGTAAAGGAAGTCACATCAGCGGTATAAAGCAGAGATCGAAAAACATATACAGAGACTGAAAGCAAGCCAATATCTACAACGTTTATGAGTAATTAAAAAGCAAAGAAGAAAAATAGTAGAAAAAGAGCAAGTGTTTAAAATGCAAGGAACGGAGGCATGAAAATTGCGCTGCTAACCTAAGCCAAAGGTTCTACGGTGTCACTTATATGCTCATAATTATAATAAGCAACTCATATCCACCTGCAACAATAGTTACTAAATCGTTTGTCTGTTGATTTGATAAGACATGCATTATTATATTTGAATGATGAAACTAAATATTATTTATTTAGTGTGAACATTGCATAAAAATTAATTAAACCTTGGCAAGTGCAAAAAACTTCTGTCGGACTGCCTGTGAGTAGTGTTACTTTGCCCACACCAAATAACACTACTGAATAAAAGTTCTATTAATTATTCCATGTAACTCATCAGATTTGAAATAAAGAAATTTGATTAATATGTAAATAACCTGATTGGGATGAGCAATAAGGAACTCGACCCTTTTTTCTTCTTCTTCTGTCTATCGGCCCATTTCTATTTTACCTTTCCTATCTAAAGCACTCGAACGCTTCATCCACTCTCAACTGACGTAACTTCATTTCCAAAAACTCTTTACTGAATCGATTCCAATCCGGTTTCCTCCTGGTCACAGTACGACTTCTGCACTTGTTCACATTACAGATAGCATCTGACTAGGTATGAATAGTGGAAAGATTACGGTCCTCACAGTACTTGATTTTGGCAACGCCTTTAATACTGTAGATTTTCACATTCTGCTTGGTATACTGCGGTCTCTTGACTTATCTACAAAGAAAATGGATTGGTTTCATAGTTACCTGTCTGGTCGCTAGCCACATATTTGCATTGAACACTCGGTGTCTTCTTGGTGCAGTAATTTGCTGGTGTACCACAGGGTAGCGTTTTATCTCCTTTACTCTTCGCTGTCTATATAAACTCCATCTCTAATCAATTAAGTTCGTTCTACCACCTTTATGTAGATGATTTACAAATATATACACAAGCTCCGCTTAACCTGTTATCGGAGGCATTCAACAAAATCAATGCTGACCTATCGCGCATTGGCGAATGGAGTCATAATTATGGACTCAAAGTTAAACCTGGAAAGATGTAGGTATGTGTAATTGGTGGCCTTGGGTTGGTCTCAAGAAATTACTGGACACAACTGCCCTTCAATTCGATGGCAGCACACTTGAGATCAGTACTAGTGTCAAAAATGTAGGTATCTATATAAATAATAATCTTGGGGTCCACATATACAAGAAGTCTGCCGGGTCCTTGCGAAGACTACGAAACTCTCTTCCGACTGTAACTAAGGCTACACTTGCACAAGCACTTCTTCTCCTATTTCTCGACTATGCCGATGTCAGCTATCTGAATCTCACTAAATCTCAACTTGATAAGCTTGAGCGACTTTGAAGTCTCTGTATACGATTTCTATTTGGAAGTTAAGAAAATATGATCACGTTTCTAAATTCCGTCAAAAGCTCAAGTGGCTTCCGATTCGCTCTCACCGGAATACTCATATCCTCACTTTTCTTTATAACATCTTATTCAATCCTAGAGCCCCCTTTTAGTTCAAAGAATGGTTCAAGTTCCTTAATGACACACATGAAAAATGTCTGAGGTCATCCGAGGATTTGAGGCTGGAGATGCCTCTACATGCCACAAAATTGTATGACTATTCTTTAACTGTTGCAGCTGTACGCTTGTAGAATGCATCGCCGATAAACATCAGGAAAGCGCAAACGATAAACAGCTTTAAGAAAATGGTTCAAGAATTTTATGTATCTTGATTAAGGGGTAATGCCACTGTAATGGTCCAAAAAGAAAGGTTTTTTCACGAATTTTTTGCTTCCGAAATTGAAGGTAATTGAAAAAAAACTTTTAAGGGTGTTATTGGGCATACATTAAACTTTATTATCCAATTTTTTTACAGCGAAAAAAAAACAAAATGGCGGTTCCACAGCCATCTTCCCGGGGAATGTTTTGCTTGCAGGGCTCCGCGGCACGCAGCACCACTGCTGCACTTTTGAATCTAGAACAAAAAAAACCCGTTAATCTAGAGGGTTATAGCTAGAGAATGTCGATCGGATTTTAAAAAGTATTAATTTTTGTGGATTTGGCGTGCGTTTGGAAAAAAAATGATTTTTACGAAAAAAACGGCTAGTTTTTTTGTTAATAAAAAAACAATAAATAAAGTTATTGAAAATCCCGATCGACATTCTCAAGATAATGTTAATGTTCACATCTGGTAAAAATTTCAAGTAAAAAAAATGAAAATTGTTCGAGTGATGCTGCGTGCCATTTTGAAAAACCGTGTTTCGAGAAAAACGCGTTTAAAGTTTTACGACTAGTTTTTTATGGGAAAAAATTAAAAAAAGGAGGTAAAAAAAATTTGTACCGTTAGTCTGCAATTCCAGCACCATACATTTGTCCTTCGATGGCCAAATTTTTGTCTTCTTCGTCTTTCCTGGTCGATTTTTGGAGCGCGCGCGCACTTTTTGCCGCGTCGCTCAGAGATACCTCGGCGTGCGTGATGCGTTTGGCGTCGGCTTCGGTGCAGAAATTATATAATTGGCCACCAATTTCCACCTCCAACATCTTGAATTACACTCGATCACCCATTTCAACTAACGCGTTAGTAAATTTTACAGTGAAATCGTAAAAAAACCCACGGAAAACACGCAAAAATCGTCACTTATGAAGAATAAATCGCTCTTTACTGTGCGTATAGTCTGTTTTTTAATCTCGTAGACTAAATTGACACATGCAAATGTCAAATTTACAAATAATGTTGCCAGCTCTTTTGTGCAGAGTTGTACCTACGATACCGGTTTGTTGAATAGTAACTTTTTATTTATAATAGACGAATTTTATTTTCATTCAAAGTTTTACATTTAATATTTCCTACGAAAAAAAATTGTTCTCGCACGGGACCTTTTTTTTCTTATTCTAAAGGGTTTAAACTATTTTTTAAGCCAATAAAAAAAAATCGATTTTTCAAAAAATTTACAGTGGCATTACCCCTTAAGTCAATTACGCGTTAAGGCCTGATAAGAACGGTTCTTTTCTTTTTTTTCTTTTCTTTTTTATACTATACTTAGGTAATTAGTTATGTATATATAAATACATGTATTCGTATGTATATGTGTATATGTATGTATATTGTATATGTGTTTATAAACCATAAATTGATGAATTTTCCGGTTGAAAATTAAGATGATTTTAGATTCAGAATGATGGTCTCAATACACTATTATAGTATTCGTTACGATGTCCCTTACACCTTTTATATATATATATATGGTATATATATAATTTAACTGTTATATAGCACGTACAAAATATATTTATGTATACTTAATGGAGGGGAGTATCCTATCCAGTACCAATGCTGAGTGGAGAGGAATCGTAGAAAAGGCTATACATTTTTTCTGAGCATGCTCAGACGTGGTGTATCATACTTAAGTTTACTCGTTATGACCTATATTGGGCATTGACCTATATAATGCTTTATAGGGCAATGTAGCGTTAGGGTGTATAGAGTTAGAAGCTAGGGGCTCTACATGAGATCTCATAACTTTTTGACAGTGCGGGCTATATTATGGTCTCATCTTGGCAACATTTTACATGAAAATGTTTTTGGTCAGTTTTCTAGGACTTCAGGAAGTATCACAAGAATTTTGTTGATCATCAGTGAATCAGTGACGAAATCGGGGTTTTTTAGATATCAATAAAATCTAAAGTACAATAACTATTCAATTGAAACTTTGTGTTAAATAAGTCTACTATTGGCATCATATCCCGATAATTTTGTTTATTTGGTATACAAACCCAAGCTGTGAGGTTTCAAAAAAACGACAAACCCCTTTAAGAAAGACTTGGCTCGTTTTTGCGGATTACCGAGGTTTAATTATTACATTATAGAATATATAATACATTTCCAACTTTAAGAACCTGTATTTATTTTTTTAAATGTATATAACATGTATATAGCAAAGACAAAACAGTAAAGAACCGTTGGTTTTTGGTTAGGTTGTACGAGGTTATATGAGTAGTATAAAATAAAATAAAATTCTTCACTGTTTTTAGTATTTTAAAAGGTTGGTTTTAGTATTTTGAAAGGTTTTAATGGTTTCAGACGTATGTACGATGCATGACTGTAGAAAAATAAATAAAAATTTAGAAAATGTGTCTATGAAACTCTTTTATTCTGTAGAAGTTGTGTTATATCATGAAAATTGCAATCAACTATTTTTGCAGAAGGAGGAAAGGATCCGGGTGCTGAAACAAAAGTTAGCGGAGCGGGAATCAGCAGCAGCGGGCGTGACACAAGGTACGGGGGCAGGCGACCGAGTGCTGGCCGATCTCGCCACGGCCACCTCCGACTATGGCACATCCACCAATTACACGCGCTCTTCCCGCGCCTCTGTTTCTGACCTCGACTTCTCTGAGAGCTACCTCTAATACCCTTAATTTTTAGGGGTTAAGTTACATCTAGCGGGACAGTTAAGTTAAAATATAGCATTTACTTTTTAAATGAAATAGTATCAAATTGCATTTCAATAGTCTTTTTGTTTTAAAATACTTACTTGACGCTTGATGTGAACTTGCTCTTCTGCCCACTATTATTCTAAATGTAAAGTGAGGGAGGCCTCTTAAAAGGACGCCCAAATTCTGTTTCGCTTATCCTTTGAGTGTTACCTAACATGTATAAAAAATTACAAATTAGTAGAATTATGGCAGATCATTTAAATTAAAACTTATTCAAAAAATTTGTTTATTTATCTGACGTTACATGTCAAGCACACATGAACGTTTAGGTTAATCTACAAAAACAAATTTTAAATGGCCTTTAAAGTCCGGCCCACAGAACTACACATCTATTCCATTAAAATGATTAATTCTATTGGATTTAGGCTTGCGTATATCGGAGGGAAATTTTAAATACAATGAAATGGCAATGAGATCAGTCCTTCACCGACGGAATCGCATAGGACCCTCATTAAACGCCCTCTGGGCTGGTCATTAGCTGGGCATCTTCTCTGTCTTGTTGAACAAATATGTTACGTTATAAGGTTGGCCTACACTTCGGTCGGCCTAGAATGGTAACGCTCACATCTGAATTGTCATTCTGTGAAACTACGTTTATCTACTCTCGTTTGTCGTGCTACCACGTTTGTCTAGAATAAAATAAACTCTGCTTGAGTGTATCCAGTTTGAAATCACATACTGTGATACCTAATCCAAATATTTCAAATTTTCATAAAAAATAGATTCTGACTGGATACACTTTACTTACTATATACTTTTACCTGAGTGACACGTCGTGTGACCCCACTTTTGTGGTATATTAAAAAAAAATAACATTGTCCTTTTACTCATCACAATCATACGACTGCATGCATAATAAACGTACCTCAAACAGGAGTTTTGCAATTAAATTATGTGTATTGACGTCATCCGAACATTTGTAAACATTAATAATGAACTTGACGTAAACCAGCGTCAATGGTCGAGCATTAGATATATTGATATGCGCTAGTGGATGGATCGTTATTACTTTACATATTTAAACTAATTCTTACATAGTTTCAATATATTCGCATAAGACCTTGACAACATTTGACGCACAATCAATTTCTTTGAACTTCTGCGAAAATATTTGAAATTTGATTATTGTCCCTTTATTAGGCCGCGGTGTGTCTAAAAAAAACATTTACGAAAGAAATAGAATATCTTTGATATTGTTAAAACTTAAATGCAATGGAGTCAAATATCTTCAAACAAAAGCTAAACAATCACTTTAAAATTAGGTATTTTATGAAAAAATAGATCTGTAGGGACCCATGATTCATACCGCGGTCTAATGAAAAAACTCTACCTCACGCGTACTGTAACGATTGCACGTGTCTTTACGTCTAAACCTACTACCTACTATTCCTACTAGACTGATTTAGTGGTACTCTTAGTGATATGAGACATACTCATAAATTGTTTCTACCTATTCAATTGTGAACTACAATTTGTAGATGTTACTTTTTACATCCGTTAGGCTATTAGTAACTAGTGTTGTGTCTCTCCAGACGAGAATCTCTAGCAATAAGTGTCGCTACAACGATTGTTCTTCATGCATTTTAAAAATATATAAAAAATTATGATTACGAATTAAATTACACGAATTTCTTGAAATTTACACGTTTCAATTTTATTGGCACGAATATTTAGATATCTTTAACCTCATATTAAAGTTCGAAGATATTTCTTTATATAAAATATATGTGGTTGATTTCATAGAAATAAGTATGAAAATGAAAAAAAAATCTGTTATATCATTTTAAATTTTATTGCATAATTACGTAGCTTTTCGGATTCATGCAGTCAAATCTCGTTATGATGCAAATAATTAAGTTGTATGATATGTAATAACGTTTCTATGGATTTGTAAAAAAGGCAATCATTACATATGAATGTAATGGGGAGAAAAAGACCATTTTGAAGACTAACAGAGCAGAGCTCGATGTACGTCATAGGTATGTGCCTAGTAGAGTTACGTAAGTAGTTTGAAGATGTTGTCCGGCCCCGTAGTTCCCCATGTTGTGTCACCCCAGAGATGCATGTCACCCTCACTCACATTGCACCCCGGTTTACCGACCTCTTTGTACTTGGTGCTTGTTAATGCTTTGTAAACGTTCACTACCTTAATCCACCGTAATCCACAGTTTTAAGTACCAACTGAATTTGAACTATATATATATATATATAGGATAGTGTCTACACAACCAATTTATCTTGAGCACTTTGCTGACTTACGTTACTATCTCAGATTTAATGTGTGAATTCCATGATTAAAATGTCTATGTATTATAGGAGTTAAACGGTGTTAGGCGTTCAAGGCTGACTAACGAGATTTCCTTGCATGAATGTTTGATATGATTGTTTTACTTATAGTAAGTTACGCTTACAATTTATCTGACGATATTTTTACTTTACATAATGAAGTAAAAAAAAGCCTTCGCTTGGTCACTTAAATGATACAATATTTTAAGTCCACGATTTTATCTTGATATTAAATTAGGATTTCACCTTTAACAATACTTTCTATAGACTGCTGCTATTCAAATTGAAAACTGCTTCGATGTTTCTTTCTGTTCTGCTTATTATATTTCCCTCGAGAGCTTGTGTATTCGGTAGAAAAATGTAGAAGTGTATCATGTTTAAATGTCATTAGTATATTTTGTATGTCAACTGTCTATATGTGCCATCTCGTACTTGCAAAGTTCAAAAGGTGTCAATCTGCTTATCTAGTTAAAATTTTAAAAGTCCGACATCATCCGACATAGAAACGTGATCGCCTAAGTGCCTTCCGTAAACCTTTAAAGTAAACCTCTTAAAAGTAATTTATATACTGCTACTTATAATATAGTGGTACCTATAATAATGTTTCACAAAATAAAACCAAGTACAGCTTTGAGTTGACTGTTGCATTTTGTATTTACATAAAGTTAAAATATTTACAAAAATATCTACTTTACAATAACTCGCGTTTCTTCTAAGTATGAAATATTTATCTTAGCAAATACACAAGAAAAATATATGCGATAATTATATATGACGTATAGTTCAATAGATAAGTCACTAACTAGTGTTGTCTTGCATAAAAAAAAAGAAGATTATATTAATTTATTTAGACGTTTCATATGAATCCAATAACTTGATAGAAGTCATTTGTTATGTCGTTGTGGTGTCGTGTTATTCTAAAAAAATAAATTTTACAATGTTTAAACGACAAAAAAAAGCTTGGTTGGTGGCAAGCATCAACTAATAATTGTTTCAAAGAATTCTTTCTATGCAATTCGTGCCGTAAATTAAAGGATAATTTACGATCTAGTACATATAGACAGCAGGTACCTAAGCGTGTAACTAAATGATCTTTTTCTCTCTCGACAGATGTACAGGACGAACACATCTGATCGCCCGCAAGGCAATCTTCGATAGAATTAATAGATTACTAGATAAATTTAATGTTGAATAGAACTATCATGACGGTGTAGAGAATTTCTTTTTTATTGATAAGAAATAAAAGTGTTCTTATATTGTTAATTAACCAGACTAAGTACCTATCATATGTTTGCGTTGAAGAAATGTTCGAAACGCTGAACTTATGTAGCCAATCAATTACTAAACATATTCTAGTCCTTAACTGTACCCATTGTTGAGTTGAGTAAAATAAGGAGATCTCATATAGAATGCACGAAGTATGGAGATACAGACAAACATAGATTATTGATAAACTTGTTATATAGTTGATTGTAATTGGTCGTTGCTCAGTGTATAATTAATCAATGTAATGTTATAAAATAAATTGACATGAAATCAATGATATTTCCCAAAAATGGAGACTTTAATATACCCTCTGTCTATTATTTGATACACATAGATGCTTAAACAAATTAAAATGTAAATTTTAGTTGCATGTTCTCTTTTAAATATTAAATACCTGCTTACATAATATTAACAGGATCTAATTCTTCTATAGTGTACCAACTTAGCTAAAATGTAATTAACATTATTTCAGTCTACAAATACCTAATAAAATGTAGAATTGTGTTTTACATATCACAGACAAAATCAGAATATAAAACTTTTATGAAATTTATAATAGGGTATTCGATCTACGTACTTCTTTAACGAGAGGCTCAATTCCAGTGATAGCGGATGCCAAAGTCATATTAGTAACGATACACATACATATTTACAAACGCATAAATTATTATGAGTTATTTTAACACAAATTATCTAACAATAAAATCAATTATCACACAAAGTGTATAGAAAGAAAGGCCATTGAAAAATGTAGTTGTAAGTGATTTTCCAAATACATAATTTACTAGTCATTCGTTAAATAGTTATACACAAATCCGTCATGTTGCATAAAGATAATTTAGAGTTATATTATACAGTTGTTACAGCACTGCCAAATCATTTGTAATATGTAGAATAAATTAAAACAAACCTAGTCATTAGATATTATGTACTTCATAAATTACATTTAACACTTTCATTTTGACAATAGAGGCCCAGTAAATTGAACATTTTCAAAAAAGTCTTGATATCAAAAGCCAACTTTCGGAACTTGATAATCATATAATATGATGTTAAAAAGACTACAATTAAGCTCAATAATTGGTTCTCAGAGGCAAATACAATTGACTGCTTACTACATAATTAAACCACTGTTTGCTACAGACACAAAACATATCTAGTTGAGATGAAATAATAACTACTATTTCCGTATTATTTTGTCGTTAACTAGATATTAACATGGTTATTTCTTCTTAAATCTTCCAGTCATTACACATTATTTCAATACTCAAGTGGAATGCCTGTCTCGGCATATCTTTTGGCGTGTGTTCAAAAACTAGCCCAATTTTATTTCTGCAACTTTAAAAGGCAGATCCATCCAA